ACACTAGCCTATGCGTCTGGGGGCATGCCCCCACGAATATTTGGTGTTCTAGACGCCAGAAAAATACCTCTGAGGCGCTTTGGACGATGTTTTTTTTTTTTTGGTTTCTAAAAGGGGCTAGCCCCCACCCCCTAAATTAGCCCATGTGTACGTTACAAAAACATGTGCCTACGACCAAAAACTATACGGATGTCAATATACAACAACAGATCTTTAGCTTCATTATGTTGTTACTGTTGTTTACATTTTCACTCAGATATTCCGGTTTAATGCCACTGTATTATGGCCGAATTTTAAGATTTGCTATGCTGTAAAATAGTCCCCAAAATGAATGAAAATGGCTCTCTACAAACCGACTTTAGAGCACAGTCATTGGTCTGAAAATGTGACTGAACAACAACACAACAATGGATGCCGCAATCCATGTAGGCATACAGGCTTGGACAACTACAGTATAGCATAGTACACGCTTACCTATATGTACATTTTCCGAGCTTAGAAGAAACACCATTCCAATATTTAATATTTTAGGAGATGTTTTTTTGCGACGATACGTAGTTGACATACACCTTTCTTTCATCGTAATTTGGATGTTATCATACAGGTGCACAACCAACCTGGTATCTGAAGGAAAATTGCTGCCAAGGACAGTAGTGCCCTACCAGGCTAAGCCTACAAATTATTAGTTCAGCGTCGAAATGGTCTGCCACTGAGAACGAACCCTCACCAGTGGCGTCGAGAGGCAGGGGCCGGGGTGCTAGGTAAAAATAAATAAATAAACGTATACATTCATCATCCAGTATCATCATCATAATTAATGATTATTAAAGGCTTGGACCGTGGACATCGTCAAGTTAGAAAATACGAATAAAACTGATAAAGCTTTGATTTTTAAATAAATACTGGATTAACATATTAAACTTTGATTTGTTATGAATCTTTTCAGCTATACGTTTAAATAATGGAAAGATAGCTTTTACTTTTCGTTTCTAGATAAGATATGACTTTTATTGTCCAACATTGCACTGGAAATTTGTTGTCTTTGACAACATGAAACACTTAAAATCCACATAAAAACACAGTACGATATAAAATTAAAAGACACTTAAAATTCACAATTTTAAAATCGATATTAAAATTAGCAAAACAACAATTAAACATGGCCATTACTTAAAATAACTGTAAAACTTACGGGATAGGTGATAAAAATTGGTAAGATTAAAATAAAAGTTCAAGATTACAAACTGAGATTTGGATTTTGTGTTAAAATGTTTAAAAATAGAGAAAGGGCCTTGGAAGCGATACGGTATTGAATTATTAATGCTTGACAACGTTCTCTCTCCAGTTTATTTACGAAATGCTTGTTATAATAGAACATTTTATATCTGCAGCAGGCTCGTACGCTGGATTTTTATTGGGTGGGTGCGAATTTGTGGAGAGTGGACCAAAATGTCTGGGGACGCAGATTCATGCTGGGGTCGAGTGGGCGGAGCCCCTTGCGCTCTGGCATTTGTGATAATTTGAGGTCCTTATTGATTCTGAAGATGCAATATCAACAGTATTAAACGGGTTTTCAGTGAAAGATTCAGGAAATAAGGGGGAGGGGTTAGGGAATAAGTGGGGAGGGGTTAGGAAGGGATTTTCACAGATGAAGGGTACATACCACCTCAGCCCCACCATGGTTTAAAATTTATAATTATGGTACCCCTAGATGGCCAGAAATGGCACTCTAAAACTAAGATTCGTAAATAAATCGAGGTCGAGTAAAATAAATCCATGCATATTGGACATACATATTAAAACATACACATTATATTATTATATTACAACCTAGATGTGCACGTGCCACTTTCAACCATAATATACTCAAGCATATACCGGTACTGATCTGATTAGGAACACCACTACCCCGCCCCCCTCCCCCGGCCTCGGGGAGAAAAAGTACAATTCTTCGGGGAGAAAAAAATTATATGTATTTTCTACATATTAGTAGACTCTAAAATCGATTAAATAAGCCTTTAAAACCCCTAAATTGTCAAAATTTTCGGGGGCTTAGCCCCCTGGACCATTTCAAAGCCTTTTAATCGAAGCTCGACCACGCCCACATTGCTTTCGTCGGGAAAAATCTGATCCCTCGTCGGGGGGCATCGCCCCCACCGCCATCGGGAAAATCCTGGCGCCACCCCTGGATGAGAGTCGATAACACTTCAGCCCCACCATGGTTGGGCCCGAGGTAAGTCAATTTATGATTATGACACTAGAGATGGCCGGGAATAGCACTCTCAAGTAAAAATAATTTTAGTGAAGCGGCGGGGAAGAACACTCAAGTTCTTGAAAAAGCTTATAGGGGCCTAATTACAGTTAAGTCATTGTTTTTGTACGACGAATTGGAGGCAGTGAGAAAAAAATTATATGTATTTTCTACATAATTAGTAGACTATAAAATCGATTAAATAAGCCTTTGAAACCCTTAAATTGTCAAAATTTTCGGGGGCTTAGCCCCCTGGACCACTTTCATAGCCTTTTAATCGAAGCTCGACCACGCCCACATTCCTTTCGTCGGGGAAATCTGATCCCTCGTCGGGGAGCATCGCCCCCACCCCCATCGGGAAAATCCTGGTGCCAACCCTGAATGAGAGTCGATAACACTTCAGCCCCACCATGGTTGGGAACGAGGTAAGGCAATTTATGATTATGACACTAGAGATGGCCGGGAATAGCACTCTCAAGTAAAAATAATTTTAGTGAAGCGGCGGGGAAGAACACTCAAGTTCTTGAAAAAGCTTATAGGGGCCTAATTACAGTTAAGTCATTGTTTTTGTACGACGAATTGGAGGCAGTCTTAGTTGGCAACTGCTTTGATTGGTCAAGGAGTTTTGTTGGATGGATTTCTGGAACGTGCGAGTTTGTTTTGAATTTTCTACCCCTGAAAATGTGGACCTTTGGTAATTTGGTGGTGGGGGTGTTTCATCACTCATTATTTTCGTTAATGTGAGATCCATATGCTTTTCGTACAATTGTCACAGTCTTCAATAGACCGCTGAGCGGCTTTAAATATCTGAGAATTTGTTTTTATTTAATTTTGACATGTTGCCATAAGAAGCACACTAAAGTTGTAAGGTAAAATACTTTGGATAATGGACAAATAAAATAAATGGAGAATAATTCTATCTACGTTAAATTGTCTTGAGTTTCCTTTAAAAATAGTCTTTGCTTTGCTTTGGGTTAATTTTGATTGCTATTGTTGTTCCTAAATATTTATATTATTCTTCTTGTTCTACATTTTCACAATGTAGGTCCTATACTAAGTGGCATGGGGGCGTCGACCTCTTTGAGAAAGTCGATTATCATCTCCATTCTATACTTTATTGTTCATGACCTGATGAAAATGAATACTATATAATTGATAAATTAGTTCTCTAATCCGTCAAAAGACCGTAGCTTCCGAAGGCGAAGGGCTCTGGCCCGGATCCCGACCAGTCGGCCGCTCTCGGTGGCCCTGACCCTCACCACCAGTCCCTCCACAGCCCCAATTGGACAATAGGCCTAATGAAGTGACGGTGCCATAGATTTCCTGATGAAGATCCAACTTTCTAGACAATCGACGACAGAAAATTTCACCATGAGACCACCCACCCATCCCCACCTCCACTGATGCCGCCAACACGGCTTTTTTACCGACTTCCGAATTGTGCCATAAAATGGCATTTTCTTCTTACTGATGTGAGTCAAGAACACATCATATTATAACAGACGAAAGCAATAGAAAGTTCACTCATAAATACTGGGATGGTGTCCAGCGGAGGGTAGTTTTTACCATGTAGTTTAAGTCACTTTTTAATATATAAATTATTTTTATAAATAAAGAAAAAAGAAATACCGGAGATAACTGGTGGGGGAGGGGGGATTTAGCTGTGATATATTATATTTACTGTATTTAATATATTGTTTACTACTACATTTTAGCCAACCCTTACAAAGCTATTTGAATGTAGTTATGTATGACTATCAAAGAATACCAAAAGTTCTTCCTCAAACCCCAACGAAGATGGATGATTCCGCTAAGCCCCAACCCTATATTGTGGCAAAAAATAATAAAAATAGCAACCCTAGATACCTGGAAATGGCATCTGACAACCTATAGAGCCACTGCCCCTCCTCCATGATTTAAAATTAGTGGGTAACTAGATACCATACCTATGCTCTGCATGGATGGGGCTCAGGTGGGCAAATTTTGCTAAAATTAAGGACTGTCAAAAATGTTTTCAATTAATTATAGGCTATAGTGCACACAAAACGCACATGGTGAATATCTATTTAAATATAACATTCAAACATTATTAATAAATTTATAGGTAAAAGTATATATATTTTTAAAGTAATAAAAACATGAGAAAAAGTGATCCAGCCAAAGCCGGTGCTGTTCCGACGGCCCTGGTCATCATCATCATCAGCAGCAGCATCAATACAGTTTTAACTTTTTATTATTGTTAAAAAATCAGTACTAGTAATTATATTCTTAATGTAATAAAAGCAGTAATGGCGCCTAGGGGGAATTGGAAGGTGGGGGTGGGGGGTAATTACCTTTTTCGGATTTCTGATTCTTAATGTTGTTGTCTAAAAGCACAGTATTTATGGTAAAATGCTTCTGTAATTAGAAGTCCTAAGACTCCTTTTTTTCTAGAGCAGTCACTGAATAAAAAATGAACTCTGACTAATGATTACCAAAATTAATAACTTTATTCTCTCTCAACAACTATAACAGTGGGTTTTCATTCAATTCATAGACCTAAATATCAAATGTGCCCTTCTCTTCTTCACCATAATCAACTATGTCTACATAAACTCAAATAAATTTAAGCGACTTAATAGCTTATTGCAGTCTTTTAGTCATTTCTTTAAAAACTTTGATCCAATCATATCTCTTGTTATACGTTTCTTTTAGTTATTTTTAACTAATTTGATCCAATCAAATACCTTGTAAGTAAAACACATACAAGGTAATTCTCGTCACTTTACAATAATGTACCTTCCAGTGAATAGCATAAAACACCTGATTTAGGAAAAAGGGAGCTTTTTAGTGCATCTAAGACAGCGTTCCGTAAACTTTAGACTGACAATGCAGTTCGGAAATTCAGACGTGATTCGCGACCCACTGACCCCTTATCCATACACACGTGCCTAATTCAGACAGCTAGCCGTAGTGCACCATTATGGGACTGGGACTTCAAATTTAGATTAAAATTTGTAAACAACGCTTAAACAAAAGTAAATATTACTAGAAAATTGTAAAAAAATGATTGTAGCTGCATTGTGCTTTGTTGTATCATTGCGAAGGAACAAAGTATGCAGATTGATGGCTTTTATTTTACAAAATAACATGTTTCAAATTATTACAATGCGACAGAATTGAGCTAGGTAATTTCTGTCAAGGCTTTGTGACCCACAGTTTGCGGAACGTTGATCAAAGACATGTCATCATTTAGAGTTAACGTATTTGAACATGGAAACACTAGTTTGCATTTGTCTGAATTATAAACAACATGGTTTTGGTCGAAACAATGCCAAGAACGTAAAATGGTCACAGAAGAATAAATCCGTCAAAGGATTCGCAACGTTGACATCAAAAAGCTCCCTAAAACCTAATAGTACCCATCAAAACATACAGTACATGTCATAAATACTCTATATGTCATAATGCACCCACACATTTTTTCAACAAAAATATTTAAGATAATGAACAAAATATTTTTTAGCCTGTCAAGTTCATAAGACCATTTTTCATCTCAATTTTAGGAAGTAAAATATGAATCAATACATCTATATGACATTGAATCACAACAAAAATGGCAACTACTTATTTTTAACACGAGTAACTTTAACACATAACATATTTTACTATATATGCTTACATCTCTCATTTTGATCACAAGGTGCTAACATGTAAATGAATATGTGGGAATGATTAGATTTCCTACGGCCTCCCACATTTGAGTTATGCTCAGAAATGTGGGTTGGAGGCAGAAACCTAGTTCTTATATGCTTCTGGGATTTGAACACCACTCAAGAACAGAAAGTTTTTTACAGGCAAAATGTCTGTTTTGATTCAAGATTTGATTTGCTACATGATCCAACATTCGCCCATATCAGCCTAAAATAACAACACATTGATTCACAAATAGACGATATCTATTTACAACAATAAAGCAAAGAATGGTTTGAGTGAATGTTTATTTGGTAAAGAAGGCAGGGAGTGGTCAGGAGGTGGCGTGAAAAGATAGGAGAGGAGTAAATTTCAGACAGAAATTTCAGAAGAAAAAACTATAAAGGAAAGAGGAACATTTAGAAAAGAGGGTGTAATGTTGTTGGTTCTGAAGGGTACTGACCATTAAAGATCTCTATCCAGATTTGAAGAGTTTAATACAGAGAGATTAAAGTGAAGGTAAAAACCATAAAAGGACAAGGGTTTTAATATCAAAAGAGTATTAACAGAGTTTAGGTTGAGGAAGGAGGCTATAGAATAAGGTAGAGTATTTAAGAGCAGGATGTATATGGGATGATGAATAGAAATTTCTTGAAGAACAATTTGTACATGATGGCAACTTGTGTCCACTTCTTTCAGTTTTCAGAGATGGTGGGTGACAATATAAAGTTGTGGGTGGGAATAACCTGGAACTTGCAGCTTTACTGGGCTCATTTGCTCACAAGTTTGGATGAACTCATTCAACAACTTCTCCAATAAGGGACAACACTGCTCAGGAGACAGTGTTGAAAACTCCTGTGAGTTCCAGGAAAATTGGGACCCCTGATGCCTTGTGGCAACCATTACATTAATTTGAGAGCCATACAACATAACAAAATTAATAAAGTGCAGTCTATCGTTATGTTTCTAGTATATGCATGCATCTTATGTAATTGACATCTCCCAGTATTTTGCTCTGCTGAGTATTGTAGTCTTATCAAATTAATATACAAATAATGGTCAATACAAACAAAAAATAAATCTGGAAATTATTAACATGAATACACAAAGAACTGATGGGTAGCAGTATAAAACGAAATCGGTGGGATTAAATATGAGAATACCTTCACTTAAAATTAAACCATGCAAATTAAAAGTCATGTATATTTCTACATACTAACATCTAATTCAATCTGCAAAGCAGGCAATATTAAGTACTGATATACAATACTTAATATGTGGGCTTGATTACCGTTCCTGGAAGCAATTATATTCTTCAAGCAGATCATATGTTAATCTAACTCATTAACTTGCTTTTCTGTTTCAATAATACATCCGATGCAACATAGAATATTTTCCTGGGGAAAAATAAAATTCTACTATAGCTTCGTAGAGCTATATTTCAATAGTAAACAATCTTTATTTTCAGTATTGTCTTTTTAATCTTTCAAGTTTTCCTGAAAATTCTAGTAAAACATTGCAAATGAGGAGTGTGCATGCTTCAGACTAGCATCAATTAAATAAATTAAACCAATTTTCAATTGTAACCATGTTTTTTCTGTAACTATATGTAGTTATACATCTGTCCTGATAATAACCTGGATTGATGCTTCTTCAAAATCCACTAAATACACAATCGCTCGAATACACATGCATATGCATAAGTTTACAATGAATACGCATACCTTTGAGAATAAATATTGAATATGTATGATAAAACATAGTGAAACAACCCTGATATATAAAATGATATGACTGATTAGGAGGTATATTCTATTTCTTTTTTTAAATTCCACTAAAATAACACTATCCTCCGCCCCACCTACCCATTATTCACCTCCCCATCTCCAATAATTCCATCCATATCCATCACTTACTCTTCCCTCTTTAATGGTTGTATCTATTATTCATCCCCACCCCCTCCAATGTATCTACCCATTTTTGTACAAGTTTGTTTATTAATTTAACCAACAACCATGATGGTATGTTAACCTTTCCATCTATTATTATGTAACTTTCTTCACCATCTCTCCCTTCAGACCTGCTTCATATATCTTCTATTTCCTTCATCCAATGCCTACTGAACTCTCCTCTGTGTTTTGTGGCTGTTTCATTTATACATATTTCAACCCTTCATTTCTATAATGTTCACAAAACTATTTGTACATCAATCTGACATCAAATGTGATTAATAAAATCATCCAATTAAATTTGAGTTTATAAAAGCCTATGGCATTAAAAAAGACATTTCATTTGTCTATCAAGGCAAGATTAATGAAAAATAAATCATTTTTGAAATGAATTAGCAATTCTAATTACTTTACTGTAATTTCTTCATTACATTTGCTGTTAAAAAAAAAAACAGAATAAAAGGCACAACATAGCCTGCAATACTCAATATTATGATATTGTTGAATAGAATAACTCACATAGTAACTCTCATTACACTTAAAAACAACAAAAAAACATCAAAATCTTTCTACAATACGGGGTGGGAATAAACAATATTTATAATAACTTCAACATCAAAATAACTTATAATTTGAATTTTAATAAAAAAAGGGAAAAAATGACATCAAATGAATATATACATCCTTTAATTTTTAAAATGTTTTTCGGAAATTCCACCGTTTGATGTTTTTGCTGCTTTCTATTGCAATCAATTAAAATAAGAGTTTAATTCATTTTTTTGTTTATGTTTTATCAAAATTAATTAAAATTCCACACTTATTTTCAAACTGTGGTACACAAACAACATCAAAATGTTAACTACAATCATTTAAATTTAGACTGTATATATTTTTTTAATTGATATCAATGTATGTATAAACCTACTGATATACACAACAAATGATATTAATTTTACAGATATGAAACTTTTTAAAATTTGAGACCAAACTATTATTTAAAATTTTTTTTAGAAATTATACACAAAAATTTCAGAAACAAAAAAAATATTGAATAAGGAAAAGAACCAACATGCTCAATAATTAATATGTTTGTAGTTTTGCAATACAAGTTTATCTATACACATTACATGACCAACAAGTCTACTACTCAATGACCAGGTTCAAATGCAAAAGAGATAATGTCCAGAACCTAGACAACAATACTATACAGTGAATAGATATCCCTATTTATATTAATTTTGTATTGCAACTAAAGATAGTCCAGAACTAATTAAAATATACAATAAATGTGTAGGTACCAAGTCCTAATATTAAAGCAGAGGTCAGTGACCCATTGCTAACCCATTTTCTGAATACATACATCATCATTGAGTTAATACTGGAGTTAACTTAAAAAAAAATAAAAAATTAAGTAGTATAATATACATCGAAAGAATGCGTCTCTGCAGAACTCAAAATTATAGAGATTACAACAAAATCATTTTTTGAAAGTCTTTAAAATTTGTAAAATAACACCAACTTGGGTTTATTATTGTTTTCTCACATAAAATAAGAGACAAACACAAACTTTGTGGCCCAATGTTGTTTCCAATTAAAATCAACATTAAAAGCAAAGTATATTATGAACAGAATTTTTTTCTGTTTAAAATACCATTTTTTGACCCATTCTGTAAAGGATCTTGGAATTTAAAGTGTCTAACTTTTTAAGGTTTCACTTGCTCCAAACTTTGATGGATGATGCAATAAAAAAAATGACAAAATCGAAGCAACGTTGAAATTGCTGTTATGTAAGCTTTGGGAGAACACCACGATCATGCCGCGTTCTGCGATTAGAATCATCTTCTACTTGCCTCTGCGTGTTCGAAAGTGCAATTGTTCGGTCAATGTCGATCATTGCATATGGCCCGCGTGGATCGAGGTTTGGAGTCTGCGGTGTCTTTGGAGAGGAGCTTGTGCTCGAACGTGCATTTGCGCGCTCGTTGCGAGTTGCTTCCAACGAATCCAAATCAAGTTCGATGTAGTTAATTTTTTTCTTTGGTGGCGCTTGAAGTTTCAGGCTGTCTGGTATGATGCATGATCGTTTTGTTGGCTCTAAGCCGTCCAAATTTGCATAATTAGGTCCACCAGGTGAACGACTGCTACAAGTATGCAGAGCATCAAAAACAAACTCAGAACCGTTACTTCCACGACTTGCTGCACTCCTTGGAGTTGGTAAATCTGCAAACGCAAATGCACTACGACTTGGGAGTTCTCCGATTGTGTCAAGATTAACATAAACTCCTGGCACAGGTGAAGCAACCACTGGTGTAAATGGACCAGGTGTTGGCGCCATGTGATGGTTACCATTTAAATGTACGTTACCATTAACAACATCAGAGAACTTCCGCATCTTTGGTTTTGGCGATGTCTTCTTTACTTTAAATTTTGATTTATTTCCATTCTCATCTCTAGTCCTTATATCCAAATCATCCGTAATTGAATTGTTAGAGCTTCGAGATGCAGTCTCGCTCTTCTGACAAATTACACCCGAGTCAGTCACATCGCATGAACAAGTATTGTATAACGTTCCCCTTTCATTGCATTCTGCCATTGCTTGGTTCCCCAGGCTATGACCCGAGGCAATGGCTCCTTCTTCATCTTCGGACAATCGTAAATGAGCATAATTTAACATGGCGGATTCTGTGTTATCATTGGCCGTATTCTCTTTCAAAGCCGCGTAACTGCCACCATCTGCATGAGAGGTCATTTGTCTTCTGAAGGTATCCATTCCTGACGTTTGTCCAGATGCCTGTAATGACAAAGTTAATAGATGAAAAGCAAGTAAACATTATGTAATTGAGAAACAAATATTGTTAAAGTAAAGATTCCAAAAAAATGATTTATTGGATTGGATTTATTCAGTGTCAACACCAAGGATAACCTATGAAAGTCTGAAGAAGACTTATTTCCAGTGGGATCCTTCTGGTGGTGATTGAGCAGTACAAATTTTTCTGAATAGTGTAGCATTTTTTAACATGCACACGGGCCATAATGCACACAGGACCAACGGCTCAAATGTCTCATCGGAAAGATGGTGCACTATCGTAACTTACACTTCAGCCCTATAGCTGAAACACAAGGAGAGCAGCGATGAGAACCTAGAGATCTTCACGGTTCAGTGCACACACAGTGGCTACCACTAGTTTAGCTCACTGAGCTAAGCTGCTCTCTTCATTAATAATATAACTACAGTAATGTAGAAATAGAAATACCAAGACCTACTTTAGTAACAATAATAATGCCAGCAATTAGTTTATTCTATTATCTAATAATAATTAATTAAAAAAAACCAATCTTAACATTACAATGAGAGAAAATTGCATAATATTCAAATATATAATAAATCAAAATTATATATAATTAATCAACTGCCTTACTACTTTTTAACTTTTTCCTTTACTATGAAATGATGCATCAATTCATTCATACTGTGTAATGTTTCAGTCACATAATCTTATAATTGCATAAGAACGAATTTAATAAATTGATATTCTTATGCAATAACATTTTATCTCTCAGAATGGTATAATTCAGTTTGTGTGTGGGTGTGTGTGGGAGGAGGGGTGAGGATTTGTGGGTGTGTCTCATTCATTTTGCGGATACACAGGTGATAATTTGCTACCTACTGCAATCACTTGCTTTACTACAATTGTTTTGGAGACTTGGGAAATCCACCCTTGGCAGTGATGGTTTTTATATAATTCAGGGAAAATATATGTATGAGTAATTACTAAATCGATAAACAGGAACTTAGTACTATAGAGCTTTTGTTTTCATATGTTTGCTTGGACAATTCTCCTCTTCAACAAATCTTATTAATACCCCAGATGTTTAGAACTCAGATGTAGAATATACAATTTTAAAAATATGAAATTAAAAAAAAATATATATATTTTTTTACTGGTTTTAGTATTTCATAATCAATAAAAAATAATATTATATTCTTTATATGGCAATATTTATTGACTATATAGGAGAGATGAGGAGAGATAAACAATCAAGTTGTTAATGAAATTATTCAAAGGACACATCAAGTATTTGTAAACTAAATCTTTTGAGATCAATTAACGCTACATTCAGACACACCGCCATGCGTAAGCTAATTCACTGCTTAACATTACAAACTATTCACACACGTCAGATAATCTAAGGCTTGCGCAAGAGCTGAAAGTTGCATCATGCTCTTTTCCGGTACATACTGATGATGGAAAGAATTACCACTAGGAAATCCCTTGACCAACGTGACCTAAATCCCATCCACTACACAAATTAAAACATTTACCCGTTGTTAACTCATATTTTAATAACTTCTCTATTAGAGTTTTAACTTCAACTTATTGATGAAAATTTTATTAATGATGTATAATATAAATAGAAAAAATTTTGTTTGTTTGCATTCAGATTTTAAAATCTGTCCAGAAATTTATAACAAATAGTGATGGAATATATTATAGAAAGTGAATTTAACACAACTGTCAAAAAAGAAAATCATCACAAAACAACCAAGTCATACATTATGCTTTCTTTTCATAGTATCTATCTATGACTACAACGCTTTAGTCAAACACTTTAAAACCAGTGATGTCTAACTAGCTTGAGCTAGTTGACATTTGCTAATCCGGTATAAGCTTAAACTAATCCACTGACAAGCTTACACAGTAACATTTGTATAGTGGCATATGCTATGCTTTCTTTACACTAGGTGTACATTATGTTCTGCTTCAAACTAAACAAATGATCCCAATAAAGCATTCTTTTCCGCAGAGAATTTTTGGTAGGAGCGGTAATTAAAAAACATTCCTAAAAATGTACCCACAATAAATTCACAATGAAAAACACACCAAATTACCCACAATGCATTGCTGACATTTACCTTACTTAGTGTAGTGCAGTAATAAGATACATGAGTATTATTACCACACCAAAAACCTTTACGGTTTTGGTAAATTCCCTTATTAATTTAGCACATTTGCATATAAATTTCAAGATGAGCAGCCATCTTTACAATAAATGATGAGCTGAATCTTAGCTGATCACAAGATTGGAATGTTTGTGCGTTACATGATCAGATAAACATCATCGCCGCGAACGTCGCTTTAAAGTATGTCAGAGTGCAAATAAGCTGCATGTTGACATAATGTAAACAAAATCAATCCTTGATATAGATTTAGTGTTCTTTGATAATGCTATGTTAAAGGATCAATGACATTGAACATGAGTTCACAAACATCAAAGAAGTATGCACAAAATCAGATTACAATGTCATCAACAGACATAGAAACTGTTCATAAATCACCTATCCCAGACCTCATGGTACAACATAACCATAAACCAAATTGGAAAAACTCAAAATAATGTGGGACAGATAAACAATAAAAGTCAGAAACAGACCATGAGGCATATAGATTTGCTTATTATATTTGAACAGATTAGTTCCTGATAGGCCGGAGAACATTGGATTTAATTCCGACAAGACAGAGTTACATCTGGCAATAGAAGGGCTTATTCCCGGGTTCAACAGCTTAACGCCCCCTCCGAAAGATGATGTAATTAATAGTTTGAATCTCGACAATACGACGGTTTAATGAGCTAGCTGACATCTGTCCTGGCATGAAGGGAGCTTGAATTTCCCAGGAATTATGAGTAGATTTCAGCTTTAAAAAATGACTATTTCTAATTTGATTGTCAATATACAGTAGTACTAGCAAAGATATGATGGCCTATGTAGGCTAGCCTAAATAAAGTTGTAAGTAAGTTATACTTTTCGAGCAAGTATTTGATGTGAAAAAAGATTTAAATATAAATTTTTAACAAATCAGGCCCATTTTTTTTAGAATTTTACATTAAGTTGTAAAGGGTAACAATAAGAATTTTTTGGCTATAATTACAAATGAGAAATATATACAGAGTATTTAGGTTTTAACAGTACAGGAGGATGACAATAGCTCAAAATAGTTACAACATCAACGTATTAGGAATGGATTAGTGGCCGGATGTGATACTCAAGATCAACGTGAAGGATTATGAAAACAGAACAATAATCGGAACAGACCAAGCTGTGTACTGCACTCCGTCAGGGATGTACTCTAATGTAAAGGAGATAAGGGAGATTAAGGGTTTATGAAAATGCAAAGAAGTATAAAAATGTTTTTAGATTTTAGCAGAGTGGTTTTCAACAACCTTTCTTATAGTACAGTACATAACAAATACATACACACGTTGAAAATAATATAACACGAACAAGAACAACAATAAGAACAACAATTATTATTATTTAGATAAGAATTTAGTGCACACACTAGTAAAAGCCTCCAAAACCTCTGTTAAAATTAATAAAATCAAACTCTTGACTTAATTTTTAGTTTATAATTTCATATTTTTAAAAAATATTACATTTTTAATGGTTTTGCTATGAGAAGATATGCACGGGAGGATACACTAGTGGATATACTAAAATATTAAGCCATCTAGGAACATATGTGAAAGCAATTCTCATCAAAAATATAAGTTTGCTAACTGGTAATGATATGAATGCAGATTGAGTAGGCGAGTACTATAATCATCTTACAGTTTCCATATGGATGCAGTATGGAAGAGATCAGACAGAACATCCTGGGTGTAACTAATACTGGTTATTACAACCACAATAACTGACAAAATACTGATAACATTTCTTGTTGTTAAAAACAATTTACATAATTTATACATTTAAAAAAATATATTAATAGGCTAATTGAAACAATAAAATCCTAAAAACCAATTTGAAAACAGCTACAAAAAACAAAAACACTAATAATAGCCACATCAAGTTATGTTTCTATAATATGCTTTAATTATTCACAAGTAACTGAAAAAGATACCAAATTAAATTTTATATTTATACTTTTTTGACCCACTTTTTAATTCATTATAGCAAAACAATTTAATGTTATACATCCATTATTTGGCAAGATATTGCAATCATTTAGCTTTATTACAGACATTTATTTTTTTTTCAAAATTATTTGTTATCTATTAGATATTATAAAATTAATCTAAGGTCAGACGCCCTGTTTACATGAGGCTGTGGATTGCAAAAGAGTCAGTTCCGGTATGATGAGAGCATAATAGTGTTTACACTTCCAAAGTAAATGACTGGGCTATAGAGGGTTGTTGTGACTTGGTTGTTAAAATGTTGGGCAAAATTGTCAGGATTATTGCACCCAACAAAAATCTCCAACAGAATTGTTTAATGATTCACAATACAAAATAATTCAATAAAAGTTGTGCAACTTCTATTCTGTACAGCATATGTTTTCAAAATAATATGTTCAAATTCATTATAAATCAATTTTTGATAAATATGATATACTTTATTAAAAAGATGACTGGACTGGAGTGGTGTTGTAGCTTTGTTGTAAACATGCCTTTACTAAGTTTAATCCTGACATAATTGTCAGTATTATTTCTCCCAACAAAAATCTCCAACAGAATTGGTTATTAAGCCACAATATAAATAAATATAATAAAAGTTATGTAATTTCTATTTCTGTATATTGGTTTCCAAATAATATGTTCTAAGTTATTAGATAAATCACATTTTGGTAAATATGAAACATTATATTAAAAAAAATGAAAACTTCTAACGTACCTGGAGGTCTGAGGTTGAATTTCCCATTAATGTGAAAGGTTGAGCATTTATGTATGTTACAGATGGAGAAGGGGGTGGTCGAGGCACGTTGGATTCAAAACCGTTCATAAATGGCGAGTTTTGTGAGTTGCCCATTAGCGGTTGGTTCGAGCCTATTAACATGAACTGTGCCGGTTGGTGGTTGTTTGGGTTGTCTCCACAACACTGGATGTTGGCTTGTAGTTCATTAAAAAGCATCTGAGCCTTCTTACATTTAAATGCATAGATACCTGTCATTGGAGAAAAAATTCTAACCAATTAAAATTAAAACTTAAAATAATTGACTTGAGGCAAACCAGTGTGACGCCGATGTATACATACAAACAAAAACTCAATCAAATTGAAACAAAGATGCAATTGATTAGCTGCTTTAAACATAAAAAACAAATTAGAAAAATATTATTGAAAGGTCCAAATATAACTTGATTTTATATTGTAAGAGAATACAATGATGAAGAGGTTGGGGATAGCTCAGGCGGATGTGGCTGTGCTGCAGGATGTAATGAAGTAAAATTTATATCAAATTAAAGCTCATTGTGTATTACCTCTTTTTTGTTCCTTAATTGGACTAAAAATTAGTGAAAAAGACTTCTGAAGAAAGATAGCTTATAATTGTATTAACTCCTTAATATAATCCAGTGTCATGGTCAAATGAATTTGGAAAAACTACAGGTTAACCACCAATATCAACCTTACTATATAACTTTAAAATAAACAATAAAATATAATATTAATTAATAGAATATAATAATCTTAATAAAAAATATTTGTAAACTAACCTTGGCCAGTGGGACATCGTCTGCCACTTTCAAAGGAGAATAAATCAGAATCGAAACCGTATCGCCGTAAACTACGCAAAGGCCAGCTTATCATGTCCTTGCCACGTTGATGTAGGGTAAGTTCTGTCTTGCCAACCTCTAGAAGTCCTTTACTGACGGTCTCGCCGTCGTCATCCACATTCTTCACCTTGAACATGTTAGGAGGGTATTTCATATCCCCCTCAGGATGAACGCACTGTAAGTTACCCATGATGCAACAGTGTTCTCTGAAAAAACAAATTTGAAAAAAAATACTGATCTGGAAGAATCAAAGTCAAAAACACAATGTGATTAGAATTAAAAAGATGAATACCGTATCAGAGATTTTAATTGGAAATAATTAGGAAGGTTAATAGTTGTTTACTACGACGTGGCCGGTGGAGATTACCATACCAACAAAGCTGCTTTCGAGTGTCTTCTGTCAGTGGTCATGAAACTCAATGAATCAGCAATCCATTTCTCAGTAAGTGCATGTACTCTGACCTCTAGGGGGCGATATATTTTCTGAATCCTACTTCATATATCGTCAGTTTTTTTTTTGTTACAAGCCCATTGTTATATTGATAAAACATGACAATCAAAGTATTATTTCTTTCTTGTTATATATAACTGTTATCTAGGCTTACATGAGAATATTTATTAGGACGAGTTGATCTCATCCATGGCAATTATTGTCATCGATGAACAAGCAACATTTTCATAATGGATGCAATTGCAGAGTCATTAGTGAGATGCTGCAGGACTGATATTGCTGCCACTGCCAGGGTGGGCGAGTCATTATAAAAATATAAGGTCTTTATGATGATGATGAGGATGGTAGTGGTTGTAATGATAATGATAATGATGACTACTGGTGACTCACTACAATGTTGAAAACAGAGAGGACTGATGATGATGATGATGATGAATAATTGATGTCATTACAATGGTGAAAATAGAGGAGATTTGATGATGATAACATGAAAATGCATTTTATGTAGTATAAATGTCCCTAATGAATTAGCAAACAAATGTCTGGCTGATTTGAAATAAGAAGCCAGAATATAGTAATTAACAGAAATTACAAAATAACACTAAAGCCCTTGTGCAGATGTTAAACTTAAGCCTGCAATGTAACAATTGACCCACCACTATTCTTATTCTTTTTCTTTATTGCCAGAAACACAACAACAAACACATACAGTCAACTCAGGGAGCAGACAGGAACCAAAAAGTGAACTAAATCACTGTAACAAAGATTCCATACTCCCTAAGTAGCAATACATAACAATAAATATTACTATTTAAGTAACAAGCCCTTCATAGTATATCTATGCTCATTGAATCTGATTTACTCAGGCCAAAACAATGAATTATAATTATTACTACAATATATTCAAGCAACTAAAAATGGTTGCAATATTTGTGTGTATGTGTGTAGGAGGGGGGGATGGTATGATGATGGGTGTCAACTGAGGCATCGGCAGCAACATAGAAAGTGGATGGCAAGGAATTTTATTTTTACTTTGTTTTACCTTGTGTATATCAATACTTATAAATATTTTATAGTCATAAAAACAGATTATTTAAAGATTTGTGTTTCCTTTAACCATTTTTCTTAAATTTCATAGCTCTAATATTCAAATATTTTACCTGAAGAAACCAAGTTTCTACATAACTACATAAACAGACTTATTAGATCAACGCTAATTTGCCATAAAATGTCAGTGGGTATATTTTCCAAGAATGTCATATTTGTTATACAGCCTACAAATTTCTTTGTAACACAAATACAATTTTCATAATGCAATGTTCAATAATTAAGAGAATTACATACAAACCGTAGTACACACGTGGAGCAGCCGTCGGCCATAACTATACCAAAATATTATCTTTGAAAGATGGGGATTAAGGCGGTTTCACACAGAAGGTGTGAATCGTTGCAACAATGGTAGTTTCAAACATCAAAGGTTTATGGAAGCTAAATTGGTATTGTAATGTAACCATGAGATAATGTAAAAAAACCAAAGCAATCTACTGCATAATCTTTAGATAAACCATTAAACTAAAAGATAAGGCCAACTCCCCCATCCTATCTCTTTTTTGTTACCCAAGCTCAACTGATTCAAAACCTCGAAAATCTATCGATCAACTAATAATAATAACAATGTCATCTTATTAGGCGCATGTATCCATCTCTTGTTGGAGTTGCTCGCGGTGCTGTTTTCCACCTGCATGATGCAACAGCATCTTCTCTAATACTAGAGCAATGGATGGCAATGAACTATAAAATTTCTTTAGGCCATGGAGAACCGACCCTGTCTCTTATACACATCTAGATGTGTATAAGAGACAGCTGCCGGTTAGACGAAAGACATATATATATTATTATGATAGCATTGTTTGGGATGTTCTCCCTACCCCATCCTACGAGTCTCACTTCTTAATGTATTATATTATATTTTAGATCAACATGTTCATGGGTTGGAATGTCTGATTCAAGGTGTAGGAGTAACCTGTACCCCAACGCTATTTGATTATCCTAGTTTCTCATCCTCTGGCCTTTTGTAAAATAGAGCCCCATCAAACCTATTGTATCGTAACTATTTAGTGTAGTTGGGTACTTAGACATCAAGGAAACTTTCCTAGATTTTATGCTTGGTATAGTTTGTAATTCACTATAATAAATGATGAACGTATATAATAGTAATAGTACCTTAAATACCAAACGCTCATTAAAAAGGGATGGGAAAGATTAGCCTGGTTCACGTCGAACTTTTATCTAGATATAGATCCACTCAACTAGATAAAAGTTCGACGTGAACCAGTCAATTATAGCTAGGTAAAGGCTTAAGTCACTTATCGTTAAGTGATTTAACTTCACTAGAATAACGGTAAATTAACTTGCCTAATGGTAAAGTCAGATCGGATTACAAGGACACGATTACATAACATAGGCATCTACTGTACCAATTATTTGGAATATTATGGGTAAAAACCCAGCAAACGTCCGTTTTACAAATAGTTGGTATTACCAATGACCTTTGCATCATCAACCAAGTAATAACGTTAAAAAGTCCGATTGCGTACATTTTTCAAAGTGGTAATGTATATTTTTCTTAATAATAAAATCAAATTTGTTGTATTTATTTCTTGACAATTCAATCTTTTCAATTTTTGCTATATTAATGGTCGCTATTAGTTCAGTTTCAAAAAAACTACCACCAACGCCAGTCATTAAAATTAGGGCACATTTTTAAGATGACGAAATAAAAAAGTGTGTTGAAAATCAGCAACTTATTTGACACCGCGCGAGGCTGGATTTTCGCGTAGTGCATCTAAACAACACAATTCAGTGATCTAAAAACTGCAAAAAAAAAAAAAAAACAAAAACAAAAACATGAGAGAAAGGTCCATAAATATACAGACATTTTAATGAGAAATAAAACAATATTTTGTTACATGGGAGAATGCTAGCGAAAATAATTTGGATTTTATCGAAGGTAAATTTAGCTAGGGCCTTAGTAGTAGCCTACTACTTTGCAGTGGACCACGTTGCTGCACTGTTGGTTGGTTCGTACTACCTGGTCGCCTATATATCAATGACAGAGGATAGCTAGGCTAGGTAGTGGAAATTGACACCTGATCTACTGTAGTTTACGAATTTGTCAATTTTGTTTACAAATACCCCTTGGTACTAGAGGTTCGTAAAATACAGTAGACATTATTAAACAAGCCTTTCCACCGTGAGACATTATTAAACAAGCCTTTCCACCGTGAGACATTATTAAACAAGCATTTCCACCGTGTGACATTATTAAACAAGCCTTTCCACCGTGAGACATTATTAAACAAGCATTTCCACTGTGAGACATTATTAAACAAGCCTTTCCACCGTGAGACATTATTAAACAAGCATTTCCACCGTGAGACATTATTAAACAAGCCTTTCCACCGTGTGACGTCGACGGTCTCAAAGCTAGCTGGCTGTTATCTGGCTCTAACTTGGCATCCAACGCAACTAGTGATGAATCGTATCATATTTCAAGATTTAGATAAGTGACTTAACTTCGATGTGAACCAGGCTATAGAAGGCAAATCAACCTATGGTGTAGGTGTAATGTAATCTATGTTGATACAAAGCACTTATCAGCAATATTATCATCAAGATAAAAGTCAAGGTCACCAGTCTGTTTACACATGAAATTCACAATCAATATTCTGAAGTCATTTCAACTAGAAAAGAATTTTGTGTTGGTAATTAATGAAAATATTAGTCCTTGATTTACACACTGCAAGAAAATATACAGTACACATTTTTTTTTTTATTATAAGAACACATTTTATAAGAACACTGAAGCTGAAATTGATTAAAAATTAAGAACAAAATAAGAATAAATTGAGGCTGAGTTCAACAAGCGGGGCTGGCTTTTTTTTTTGTGGGGCCATCTTTTGCTGGGCCTTTCATTCAGGGGCCATTTTTTGCAGGGCCGCTTTCACCACCCAGTACAGTGTATACTGCTGTACAATAATAATTTTCCATGTTTGAAAAGTGTGTAAAATAAGAACAAAATAAGAACTTTTTGAGCCTGAAATCAGCCAAAAAATAAGAACACTGAGCCTGAGCAAAATTTTACTGGTTCTTATAAAAAAAAAAAAAAAAAAAAAAAAAAAAACTGTACTTCTAAGGCATCATTATAATACAGACCTATTTTCACTATGGTTTTGTAGATTTTTTGAAATGAAAAAAATAATACCTTTGTGCATTCATTAAATCAACAAATCATTACAATGATGATCAAAAACCAATGGAGCTAGAGATGTTGCTATTCTATGCCTAGTAGACTCCTGGCCAGCCAAAACAGAAACCGGCTGTTAATGAGAAAGAAGTAAAATTATTTACCGCTTGGATCAGAGATGATCAGAGCTAGTCGACCAGGTATTCTCCCATGCACTGCAATCGGTTACTCTGTGACCAGGTGGTTAGCAATGCTTAAATGTGTGAACCAGGCTATTGCTTGCTGATGTTGATTATACTTTCAAGGTTATTATAGATCTAGCATGAATTCAGGTTTTGTATCAAGGTTGTACCATGGTTGTACAGTAGCACTGAAAACCTTGGGGTCTGGCTTCTTGCCCAATCATGTCCAGCCAAGCTGTAACATTGAAAACACTGAACAACAATTACCTACTGTTCTACATTGGTAACCACAACGAATTAATAATGGGTAGAACCTGATTTTGGCAGGTGCAATACTGTATTGTAAGGTCTACTGTATTCTCAGAAAGTAAAATTTTAGTATTGTAATTTTAAAATTTCTAACGGAGAGGAAGGTTCAATTTTTAAAAATTCACATAAAACTTATGGGCGTAAGCTCCCCCCCCCCCCCATTGTTAAGGCCTTGAGCATTATTGCAGTGGATATGTGCACTTTACTGTATAAATCTATTATTATTATTATTGTTATTATTATTATATCAAAAGTATTGTCATATTTTTGAATTTTATTAGTGGTTTATTGTGTCATCGATCATTTGGTAATATTATTATAATTATTATTATTAAATAAGTTTCACTAAGTGGGTTAAAATACTAAAAAAAATCATTAAGTTTTCATTGCAATAGGGATTCAGTTCCGGGTTCTCATTTTTCACACCCCACAGGACAAAACCAGTTATACCTCTCTGAACATTAATTTCATAATAGGAAATTAAATTACATTATTATACACAATGAAGTGGGATAATGTATTCTTATAGATAACATATGGCATATTATCAATTAAGGGCCTAAATATAGACTAACACTATAATTAATAGTTTCTTCATGATATATAATTATCATATTTGATTAATGGTACTGAAAGTCCTATACAGTGATTGATTTAGAAAGGATGCAAGAGGAATAATTTTGTTTCTCTTTGTGAAAAGGCTAAACTTTCCCTAGAACACATTAATATGGTAAATGACATTAGCTTTTCATTAAATTATCATATTATCATTACATTAAAACCATTATTATAATATTATTCTATACAGTTTATTATACATGCCCACTATTTTTTCAATAAGATTCCACGCTATTGTAAAAATCAATTCAGTTATGATATATTAGAAGGTCTGAAAACTGAATTTCTAGGAAGGCATAAAATAAAAGAAACATTGATTAATGTAGGTGTGTGTTACGCCAACTGGGACAAGGAAATATTTAACCATATAAGAAGCTATTAAATTATCAAAGAATAAATACTTATGCCTTGCATACAAAACAAAGCACTGATTTTCAAAAAACTGCCTCAGACACCAAATTTTCCAAGCTGGATCCCTACAGAGTGTCCAACTCTGGACCCCACTGGAGGCCCTTGGTGGCCTCGGACAACAATTTTCTACCTACTTAAAAAATCTCAAAAGACAATTTCTAAAACACAAAACTATAATATTCAATTTTATAGCCTTCAAGTCACTTTATGTACATTTGTAGATTAAAAGAGTTAAAGTATTATTAATAGACATTCATAAAAAATAATTACTGTAATTAGCATGAAGTATACTTATGACGCAAGGCTACAATATCTACTATCTTGAATATTTATAAGAAATTTAGCGCTATTATATTTTGTATACATTAGCGTGGTTTGACCATACGCAGCCTACACAATATATACAAGATATAATTATGAATACTTAGAAATACCCCTATATAATATTCTGTATCATGTTGTATTGTAGATGTAGACAATAAATATTCCTTGACAGGATTTAGTTTATATACAAAAAATTTGATTTTATTAAAAAAAAAAAAATAAACAGATAATGGGCCTAAACACAAGTGAATAAATTAATATGTATAGCGGGTTACATTTGTTAAATTTTCTTTTGGATTATTCAGGTATTGAAAATGTTAAATGAATATCACTGAAAGCAATCAATGAAGATCTTTTAATATCATTGAGTTAAAAATGATTCATAAATGTTTTATATAATTTAATCTAGGTATGAAAAAATAAAACTAATAGGTGATTATGTAAAGTACATTTGACTGACCATTTTCATAAAATGACTTCATTTTGACTACTATAACAAGTTCTGGCTTGAGTATCAATAATATATAACTCATATTAAAAGTAGCATAAATTATAAAGTATTGCACAAGGCAAGACTTTTTAATACCTTTTTTCGCAAACCTGCCGCTAAAAAATATTGATTTTGAATATGAATAAAATTTTATTTTTGGCCAATTAGCGCATCCATTGCCACAATAAACTAAAAAAAAATTTTTTCTTTATTTTTATTACACCTGCCGCTGCCCTTGAAATTAAAAAAAATAAGATAGGTATATTTCTTCCTAATTATATATATATATATTTAAAGTATTTAACCATTTCATTCCATACTGTTTACATTCAACAGTAAAATGTTATTTTTATTTTATCCCATCTGGATGTTTTTGGCAAAACCCATTTGCTAAATAAGAAAAATTAATTTATTTTTGTTTTTTCCACCCTCTTCTGATGATCTTTAAAAAAAAAGTTTGCAAACCAAGGTATAAAAAAGTCTTGTCTGATATAAAGTAATGCATAAAGATCAGGTAGGCCTACGATGCATTATGGTTGTAGACTAAAATCTGCAGTTAAGTTTATCTTTGTATTTTCTGGCACATTGTTTTGTTAGCTACTACAGCATGTTTGCAAAAAAGATTAGATATATCCCTAGTTTAAATAGCAGTGATGTCACAATTATACTAAATAAATAAACTAAATAAAAAATGTTCATATTAAACTTAATACCTGTTTATAAAAGCTCTCGTATTCCAATGAAACTTGGAGAACACATTAGAAGTTGCCTAGCCAGCAGTCTTGTGTGTTATGATTAAAAAGTAAATGATATGAAGGGGTCCAGACATAAGTTCCACCCACTTGAAATCCAATCCCTCTATTGACAAGCATCCAACAACAACCTCACCATCCTATTCAGTCCACACTGTCTTAATTAAGCATAAGAGATCAGGTTTTACATGAAAAGAACTGCACATGCCATTCATTGTTTAAACAATAGAGAGGATTAATCATACTGGACACCTGAAAAAAAGCAGTTACCCTTCTAGGCATACAGTATAAATTCTAAAGGCCTTTATATTCAAAAAGCTTTCTCTATTCCATCAATATAAAGAATTTAATATTCTTATACCTACAGAATGTTAGGTCAACAACCACATTGCTTAAATAAATGAGGACTAATGTTACAGAGGGGCACACATTACCATCCATGTTGAGAACAGTGTGCACAAATCATCTGCATTTATTATAATCTCTGTACAGCTTCTGAATAATAGATCAACCACACCAGTTGATTCCCTGGCTGGATTACACTGTATTAAATGTGTTCAAGTGTTTAGTATCAGGATTTACCATTAACATTAAGAGCACACACACACACATAAAAAATCATCCCAAAAACAGAATAAAATATGACCTCCTCTAGAAACAAATATATTTAAAAAAAATAGGCCAATAGCTCAATCAATAAAGCAATATTTATATCAATTTTAAATGAATATTAAAAAAATGATTGGTAAGGCAGAAAAAAATGGATGTGCGAGGGGACGAGAAACCAGTATTTTTTTTTTAATTTGCCTTATATCAAGGTTTCATCAATATTTAAATATTTTCATTTTTCATAATTAGATTCAATAAAAAAAAAAAATCATTGAAATAATATACCATATACTACTATATTATTATTTCAGTAATTCCAAGTTAATATACAAGAAAAGATAAAATCTCTAGTCATATAGCATGTAGTATACAAGGAATTAGATCAATTTGGATATGGTACTAAGGATTATTATACAGCAAGGGTAATTAAAAACCTGTGGGCGATGAAATAATTGAAAGATGTAAGTAAAGACCAATTCAATCAGACGAGTGGGTTAAAAGTAAGATGAAGACTGATGACACATAATTTGGTGACACATATTGAATACATTTACCTGATACAATATTAAAACATCATTAGTTGGCATAATATCAGATTTTCACACAAAAGCATTCCTAAAAGTTCAAATTTAATGACCTGCCATGACCCCTACTTCTAGAAATGATGTCCAGATTAGAATTATGACGATTACTATTATAAGAGTTTACACTAACCGTACATCTTCAAAATGTTTACTCTACTTAATACAGATGAAAGTATTAAATGTAGGTCTTTAAACTAAATCTCATAAGTCAAAGCATAGTGTACTAAATAAATAAAACATTAAAAGACAAATAACCCAAAAATACATGATTCTTATCTCTACCGGCAACAATTTTTGCCCCACATTTTATTTCACTTTCTTGCAGCACTACCATATAAGCTATTTTCAGTGTTTCCATTTCATCAATTTTTGCATATTCCTTTTGTACCATGTATTTTATATTGTAAATGATGACAAAAAGAATTTGATTTCATTTGATTTGCATATATTTGGAAAGTCTTAAAGGTTCATATACTACTAGTATTGTATGTAGCACACTTTATTCAAAAATTGAATACAAGGCCCACATGGCCTAACATGCAACACATGCCTGGCATGCACAAGTTCCAGATATCACACCAGGTATTATACCATTACCAAACCTTACATTATTTTTAATTGTTTGTTTATTTTCAGTTCTATTTAACATTATTATTATTTTTTTACTAGTATTTGATATTTACTAATTACAAGCAAAAAAAATAAAAAAAATAATGCTCACTATTTTCAAAGAAAAAGATTGAATACATGCAAAATATAGTAAAGATGTATTGAAAATATTTTAAAATAAACATAAAAATCAATTTTGAAATTGTCTTGCTCATTGTGAAGTATAGTATTAGTGTATTTATATAGTAAATAGCTAAAAATGATAGAAACACCTCCAGTCATTGGTTGTATTATTACTACTGCGTATAAAAATCAGGGTACACATTTTTTTAATTTAATAATTTCTATGTTCAGGTTAATAATTTGCATTTTACAGCCAAATCAGCAAGCTTATTTTAAAAATTATTTTTATGACGTTTTGTGTCAGTCATCAATGATACATCTTTAAAAGGTTAAATAAATATATTTAGTATCAATAGTACATTTCAATATTACAGTTTATTTCCACCTTCTCAGACGAATCAAAGGTCTCCATTCATTGATTGATCTCCTCTACCTGAATATTCAATAAGGTGTCAATTAATCCCCAAACCAGAATAGTGATAGGTGAACACTATACAATAGAACTGCATAAACAGGATGTGTAAACATTAAGTTGAACAGAATTTAAGTTTTTTAGATAAGTAAGATTACAATGTTGTAATCAACTATTACTACATTTATCAACATTAAAGTTCTTTAGATGAACAAAGCGAAGCACAATCTATATTATTACAGCAACATATAATGTATTGTTATTTACAAGTACAATATATATTTTGTATAGCAGTAGACATAGGTAGGTATAGACTATTTAAACTATGTAAGAAAAGTTTTGGGAGCCTATTCAATCAATCAATTTATTCAAAAAAACCTCCAAGAAGAACATCCAAAAATACAATGGATAACATAAAAAAATCGAAGATATATATAGCAGAGTAAGAAACAGCAAACAACAAACAATCAATCCATTACATAGTATTCTTCAAGTAATACGGAGACATAATTGAATTTCAGTGTGATCTAAAAATACAAAATAGCATACAGAAATAAAAAATCAGTGTTCAACTGACATCAAAAAGGAGATGAAAGTCCTCTTAAGAGATCACCATTATATGATTTTCAAAATAAAGTAAAATAGTGCGTAAAAATAGTAACCGAAAAATACAAAAATACCATACGGAAATAAAAATTCAGTGTTCAACTGACATCAAAAAGGAGATAAAAGTCCTCTTAAGAGATCGCCATTATGATTTTCAGAATAAAGTAAAATAGTGTGTTCAGGAAATTGAAATTTCGCAGATGTTTTCTAGAAGTTACAAACAATATTTCCAAAAAAAAAAGAAGTAATTTTCTTACTTCCTTGCCTCAATAAATTTCTGTATATGCCAGCATCTACGGCTTTAAAAGAAGGGTGGAACAGAATATTCCTGATGAGAGCTTAAGTGGGTGTGGTCGGGCGTCGCTCAAAATCTTTTGGAAGTGGTCCAAAAGCTTGGTATCAAAAGGCTGAGATGTACCCTAGGCTGGTACAGTATAGAAAAAGGGGCGTGGTTTAGAAGGACAGAGGACCACCCAGCCAAAAATACTCCATGTGGATACCACAGGGCTTAATTTCTTTCCAGGGATGGAGATATATGCCTATGGATGGGTAACTTACTGGCAGGGATACAATTTTATCAGTAGGGGTGGAAAATTTACTTTCTGAAATTTACTCTGTAAATAGTGCATCACTAATAATAATTTGCGCTATATAAAAACTATTAACATCATATTTTATCATTAACATCACATAATACAAGATGATATTGTAATTACTGCAGAGTACAGTTTGATGGTTGGATGAAATGAGTTTGTTTTTTACATTCTCAGAAAACAAAAAAGTTCCAATTCTGGCTAAGGACCAAAATGACTGTGTATGTCATTGAACGTGTTATTGGAAAGAATAAAACTACACTCTTTTGACATTTTTTGCAGATATTTTGAACAAATGTGTGCGAGTTAATAGTTCTATTGACTAAACTGAATAGATTGTTTATGAGTTATTCCCATGTGTGATTTTTGTCATAAGTCTGAATCATACCATAAAGGGCAATTTATACAATTGCTTCCTGGGACTCCTTTAAAATATATTTGAGGCATTATCAACAATGTAAATACATTTTTTTTTTATAAGAACCAGAAGAAATCTTCCCAGCCTCTGTGTTCTTATTTTTGCCAATTCTATTTTTAGGCTCAAAACATTCTTATATTGTTCTTATTTTTAACACTTTTCAAACATAGAATATCATTAATGTACAGCTATATAATATACTGTATTATAGAGAGTATTACATAGTCACACCTACTAAAAATATAGTACGGATAAGACTTGTTGCTTTTTCTATTTAAAAAAAATAAAAACCTCTACATTTTGCCTCAGCCTCAATTTGTTCTTATTTTGTTCTTAATTTTTAAGCAATTTCAGCTTCAGTGTTCTTACAAAATGTATTCAATACCCAATTATGTCAATAAAAACCATTATCGTTTGTGACTTTTAAACTTCCCTTTAGTTGTTTTTCTATCTGTGTAGTAGTGTGTTTTGACAAACATGGTTTATTTAAACAATCAACCATGGATAATTAGTATATACTGCAACAAACAGTAACAGTCTTGTTTGTTTTTCCATGCTCTAGTAGAGGAACATCAAAGGCAAACATCAAAGTTTAGTAGTGGGTGAGGCCAGGATGAAAACCTTAAAACAGCTATTTTGAGTATTTTAACTGTGGCGTAATTAATGGACAGGTCTGAGGACCGTAACTTCTTTAGACCCTACTACCACTGGTGTATATAGAATCTGTATAAATAATGTACCTCATCTGCATTCTTTAATGTTTTAGATTTTCTTTGTACTTTCGTGCATGTTATTTCATCATCCCTGTTTGCCTTACCATTTTTTTTTTTAATAGTAAAATGTTTGTCTCTACTATTTGAAATGCCTTTTTCATTTAAAATATAAATTTTAATAGTTTTGTATCATGCTCTTTTCCACTGGCTGATCCGTAGATCAAAACATTAGCCAACTTGCTATGCTGATTACTATACATTACTATAGTAAGTACCTAGTTAGTACCTAACCATATTAAACATGGATAATTACTATTGGCTCTCTAGATTTCATAAATAAGATTTACTTTCAAAGTCAGTGTCGTATCTTTCGCTGTCACTTCATCAGCACACTGACTGTCACCTACTTTGTCACTTCACCAATCTAGATGAGAGCAATCATGTGATAGCAAGTCACTGAAAAGAGCTGGTAAATTGTATCTGGTGT